TAATAACAATCTGATCTAATTTAATGTCACTGGTCACTTTCCATTCTATATTCTGTTAGGAGTTTTATTCTTTTTGGTATATTTTCTTTTCATTTTATAATATTTACGTTCAGGTTAGTTCTACAGTGTATATATAATATTCTGTACTGAACTCTGTAATTAAGATTTTTCTCTTTTTTTGCCCTCTGTGATCTGCTTCTGTCCCGTTAAGCTGCTCAAGGGTTCGTCCAAATGGATGGACAAAGTTAAGTCCAAGTCTGGGTCTAGGTCTAAGAAGCCCACCAAAAACACAAAATGGCGTCCACTCATGGTCCTCTGGGCTCACCTTTCCGGCCTGGCGGCTCAGGGCCTCCGTCTCCCGCCGGAGGGCCAGCAGGTCCGGGGAGGATCCCTCCTGGCGCAGCATGCTGGAGCACTCCGCCGCGTGGCCCTCCAGCTCGGCCCTCAGGTCGCCCAGCCGGGACAGGAAGCTCCGGACGGCGTCCGCCTGCGAGGCCAGCGAGTCCGCGTCCCGCCCCACCGGACTCAGCGAGTCCAGCTCGTCGTCCAGGTCGGCGAGCCGGGAGAAGACGTCCCGGACGTGAGCCTGGACCTCACCGACGCCCTGCAGCCGGGACTCCAGGGAGGAGCAGCACAGCTCCACCTGGAGGAGGGGCAGGAAGCCGGATCAGTGCCATGGCAACCGGGGCTCCGATCGGCCCTCGAACACACCAAGACCACATCCAGATCACATCCGGACCTCATTCGGACCTCCTCTCTATCCATATCTGCATCCAGAACGCATCCAAACCTTATCCAGACATCATCTAGACCTCATCCAAACCTCATCTGCATCCATATCTGCATCCACACCACATCCAGACCTCAGCTGCATCCAGACCTCATCCAGACCACACCCAGACCAAATCCAGATCACATCCGGACCTCATTCGGACCTCATCTGCATCCATATCTGCATCCAGACCACATCCTGACCTCATCTAGACCACATCCAGACATCATCCAGACCTTATCTGCATCCAGACCACATCCAGACCTCATTCAGACCACATCCAGACCGCTAAACGAGTCTGATATCTGGCTTTTCTTTGTCAAAACTTTACAGACAGGTAAAACAGGCCCACGGGTCCAGTGTGCCGTCATCAGACCATCATGCCTGTTCCCCTCACTCAGCATCTCAGTAAATATCTGCACAGGGTTTACATTGCAGCTCTGGGGAGAGCTGGAGCCTTAAATGGAACATTTGAGGAGGGATGAAGATGCAACACTGCAGGCGCTAAAGCAGGTTTACATTTCAGACAAAGATTCAGTGCCGAGTGTCCACACTGACCATATATGAGGACCCGGAGCCTGTCCTGACAGCCAGAGCTGTTCTGCTCTCTCTCAGCCGGCTGACACTCGTCTGCTCCCCCTTAACCCCACGTTATGACACAGTCTCAGACAGACTTGGTATGAATAGTCCCCCGGCTGAATAACAGCCCCTCCACTCCAGACTGAATGAGTTCAGAGCTGGTGTGGCTCCTCTCGTCGCCCCCCTTCTGCTCGTGCTCGGCTGACTTTAATATCTGGGTCAAATGCATTCTGGTGCTCGCACAAAGCAGCAAATCCAGTCCTTGTTTCTCCTCGACTGAAGAGTCAGAAAAAAATAACTGGACTACACTATAGTCCTAAGACAAAACAGCTGTCAATAATCAGCCTATTGTTTAGCTTTAAAAAAGCAAAAACATCCACTTAATGAATGATCAAGCTGGCCTGGCAGCATTGAAGACGCTATCTTAGTATTTCTTTTAAAATTTGCACCATAATACACAGTGTGGCTTCACATGTGAGTTTAAACCATTTTGTGTGTAGCTTTTTGATCCAAACACCTAAAAATAAACACAAACATGAACATTTTCCATGACTTTTCCCTCCAGCCTCTCAGAAGTGGTCACATCCTGTCCAAAAGGCTCGTCAAACACGTGCACACACATCGCCTGATGTGCATGGACCAGTTTGCAAGTTAAAGTGAGATTTTGAGACTCTTTTCAGCTTCGAGCTCCTCAGTTTCAGTCTCTGCGATACATTCAGGTGCTATAAGAAAGCTGGGACATGGGGGAATTGGTACCCCTGAAGTGATGAGAAGTTCAAATAAATGGAAATAAATCTACAGGCTTAAAACAATCAAAATGACAACAAAAGACAAAGAGAAACAAAATAAGCACTGAAAGCTCCCATGTCATCCCCCAAAAAACAACAAAAGGATGTAAAATGACCACAAAGACCCACAAGACTGCCCCAGATTTCACATAAAGGCAACTGAATGCATCACTCTGAGTCGGGTGCTGAAAAGAGTCTTAAAACCTCACAAGAGCTCTGGAACTCCAGCTTGTGCACGTCAAGCGGTGCGTGTGCACGGATGTGACCTGATCTGTGAGGCTTGAGGTCAAAGGTTAAAGGTTTCGCCTGCTGATTCTTGAGCTGTCCCGCCACAGCTCACCTTGTCAGTGACGTCCTGGTATGCTCTCTCTGTGTCTCCGGCCTGGTCCTGGAGCCTCTGAGCCCCCTCTGTGCTGCCCCCTGGTGTTTGGGGGGCGTCCTGCACCAGGCCCTGAGCCAGGTCTCTGAGGTAGACCACCTGAGGCTGCAGGGAGCTCAGGCTCTCCTGTTGGCTCCTCAGCCTCTCCAGGCTCTTAGCGCTGCAGGCCTGACGGGGAGAAAACGGAAACGTGAAACAAAACCCACGGAGACGGGCGGGGAAATGTGAGGGAGCAGCTCTCTGCAGTACCTGAGGTCCTAAGGCCTCCTGGACTTCGATCTGGTGCCTGGCGGCCTCCAGCCTCCTCTCCACGGACTGCCTGCCCTCCTCGAACTCCTTCAGACGGCTGGCGAGTTCCTCCAGCTGAGAGGTGCGGCTCAGCAGCGTCTCGCTCAGCGCGTCCACCCTGCGGTTCAGCTGGGCCTTCTCATCTCTCACCTTCAAGACAAGCACACAGAAAACTTTCTTCAGCGTTTGTGGACTGAACAGGACTAACCAGGACTAAACAGGACTAAATAGAATTAAATAGGACTAAATAGGACATCATGGTTTTACAACAAAATGTCTACAAGCCTGAACTGAGGAGGCGTCTAATAGATGAATCAGAGGCCAAAACAGAAGCTAAATAAAAACCCCTCCAAGGTGTTAAAAAGGAACAAATGCAGATAAATAAGTTTGATTTGTTCTTCACCTGCTTCCGTCAGGTAAGATTCACCATCAGGACATGAGCTGCTGCCGATATGCTGATGATGCTCAGTTAAACCTACAGATTAAGTCGGATAAAACTGACTACTCAGTTTGACTGGAAGCACCAAAATAAAAAAGAGCTGGACTTCCTGCTTCTAAATGCAGATCAAAATCAGGTTTTTAAAGCAAAACAGGAAGCAGAGCATGCAGGTATCAGGCCCCTGTTTGTATTCAAATCACTGATTAAATCTAATCTGTAATTGGCTTAATTTCTACTTTCATCCTCCATTAAATCTCCACTTTGCAATTCAACTGAATGGATCCTAAAGGGTATTTTGGGTCTTTTTAGCCGCGTAGAAAAGCTCAGCTGGCGCAAATTTAGAGGCCACATAGCCCAGGCTCCGCCCACCTCCTCCTCCCCGATGCAGCACTGCTCCAGCAGCTGGTCGGCCGCCGTGTTGAAGGCCTCCAGGAGGGGCTGCCGCTTCTCCAGGTCCAGGGACAGAGCTCGGGCCTGGTGCAGGGCCTCCTCCAGGGCCGAGGGCTGCAGGGACGGCCGGGTGTCCGCGTCCTTGCCCTCGCACTCGGCCAGCCAGGGGCAGAGCTCGGCCTTGTGCTGCTGGTAGGCCTCGGCTCGGCTCAGCGTGCCCCTCAGCTGGCCCTCGCGCTCCGACGCCCGCTGGTTCAGCTCCTCCCAGTCCTGCCGCAGGGCGGCCAGCCGGGCCTGCAGGGCCGAGCGCTCGTCGGCCGGCAGCGTGGCCAGCAGCGAGACGCCCTCGGCCTGGATCAGCTCGTAGGAGCCCCGCTGGCCGGCCACGCCCCGCTGCAGCTCCTCCGTCTGGGCCAGCAGGGCCCTGATGGCCGCCGGCCGGCAGGGCAGGGACGCGCCGGAGGTTTCCCGGGGGTCCGAGTGCCCGTCGAGCCAGGAGCGCAGCTCCTCGAACATCTGCTGGAACTGCTGGGTGGAGGACAGGGCGGCCTGGAGCTGGGAGAGGCCGTCGGCTGGGGGAGAGAGCAGACATCAGGTCCAACCCACAGGCAGAACCCACAAAGAGCAGAACCCCCACAGAGAGCAGAGCCCCCACAGAGAGAGCAGAGCCCCCAAAGAACCCACAGAGAGCAGAGCCCCCACAGAGAGCAGAGTCCCCAAAGAACCCACAGAGAGCAGAACCCCCACAGATAGCAGAGCCCCAAAAGGGACCCACAGAGAGCAGAACCCCCACAGAGAGCAGAGCCCCCACAGGACCCACAGAGTGGCCTCAGACCTGCTCGCTCCTCCAGACTCCTCAGCGGCCCGCTGACGCTCTCCAGCCGTTTGCTCAGCTCCTCCCTCAGGTAGGGCTCCACCACGATGGCGCTCAGCTCCTGGCAGAGCTTCTCGGCCTCGGCCAGCTCTGCCCGTCTTCGCTCCAGTTCTGATCGGATCTCGCCGGTCTCCTGGAGCCGGCGTTTCAGCGCCTCGGGCTGAGCGCTGAGTGAGGCCTGAGCGTCCAGCCTCTCACCCAGAGCCGCAACGCTAGAGGAGAGCTCTCTGAGCAGGGCCTGGGGAAGAGAGCCGGGATTAGGCCACCTGAACGCCATCTAAACGCCACTTGAACGCCATCTAAACCCATCTAAACCCATCTAAACGCCATCTAAACCCATCTAAACGCCATGTAAACCCATCTAAACACCATCTAAACCCATCTGAACCTGCCTGAACCCATCTGAACCCATCTAAACGCCATCTGAATCCACCTGAACCCATCTAAATGCCACCTGAATCCATCCAAGTGCCAACTAAGTGTCATCTAAACCCATCTAAATGCCCATCTAAACGCCACCTGAACCCATCTAAACCCATCTAAACCAACGTGAACGCCACCTGAACCCATCTAAACCCATTGGAACCCAGCTGAACCCATCTCACCTGGTAGCGCTCGCTGGTTCCCTGGGCCTGATCGATGTGGTTGGACCTCTGCGTCAGCCTGCTTGTGAGGTCCTCCCACTGCTGGGAGATGGAGCCCAGCTCCATCCGCACCTCCTCCAGGTCCTTGGGGTCCTGGGCGGCGTCGCCGGTGGGGCAGAGGATGCCGTCGGCCGACTGCGTCAGCTGGTCGAACTGCGGCCGCCGCGTCTCAAACTCGCGCAGCATGAACTGAAAGCAGAGCGGCGTGGAGAGGGAAGTCAGCCCACCTGAAGCCCTGAGACCCACCTACTGAGGCCCTGAAAGCCCACCTGAAGCCCATCTGAGGCCCTGATAGCCCACCTGAAACCCACCCAAGGCCCTGGAACCCACCCAAGGCCCTGGAACCCACCTGGACTTGCTGCCGCTGCGTGCTCAGCATGTTGGGGTCGATGCTCAGGGGGCCCAGCACGCTCATCATCAGCTCCTTCTCCCTCAGCCAGGGGCCCAGCTGGGACGCCGCCGAGGCAAAGCTGCCCAGCCGGTCGGCGCACGTCTCCAGCTCCGCCTGCCTCTGAGCCGCCGTCTGATTGGCCGTTTGCCAGCGAGAATCTGAAAAACAGGCCCGGGGGGTTTAATTTAAAAACCGTCTTCTAGATGTCTTCCATCAGGTAACATTCACCATCAGGACATGAGCTGCTGCCGATATGCTGATGATACTCAGTTAAACGTATAGATGACCTCGGATAAAACTGACCACTCAGTTTGACTGGAAGCACCAAAAGCGAAAAGAGCTGGACTTCCTGCTTCTGAATGCAGATCAAAATAAGGTTTTTAAAGCAGAACAGGAGGCAGAGCATGCAGGTATCAGGCCCCTGTTTCTATTTAATTAAATAATAATAATAATAATCTGTAATCTTTAATCTTCGGTTAAATCTGCACTTTGCAATTTAACTGAAGGATATTTTGGGTCTTTTTATCTGCCAAGATGCTGAAGAAACACCAGGAGACATTTCTGATTCTGCATCCTCTCCTTGCCTGACTCATTTCTGGGCATTCGGCAGACTGTGTGGACTATGAAAAGCTTCATGAAATCTGAAACATGAAGGGCCCCCTGCTGGATTTCACATATTTCTATTTTGGTTAGTTCACATCCCACTCTGCCTGAACAGTATCGATCAGAAGTTCCAGGCATCGCCTTCCTCGTTATTCTTCTTTAATCCCTCTGAGAACATTTTGCTCTCGTCCTCTAAACATGTCCCTCTCTTGCTGTCTTGACTGGTGTGAGGAGATAAAGCCGTGTCCCCGTTTCAGTCCCAGGCTTGTACCTATCTCCTGCAGCTGCTGTCTCCAGCTGTCGGCCTCTGGAGAGTCGGGGTTGTCAGCGATGAGTTTCCTCAGTGTGCTCTTCAGCTCCTCCACCTTCCCGGAGTGCTCTGCCAGCTGTGAGAGCAGAGCCTGCAAGGGGAAGCTTAAGTTCACCAAAACAAGGAGAGCCAAAGCGGACAAGGGTGCTAAAATGGTCTATAAGGGGCTACAAGGACGCTACAAAGGGGCTAAAAAGGGCTCAAAGGGGCTACAAGGGAGCTAAAAGGGGCTGAAAGGGGGTAAAAAGGGGTCAAAAGGGCTAAAAGGGGTTGTTTACCCAAAACGGGGAGAGCCAAAGCAGATGGGGCGCTAAAAGGGGCTAAAAGGCTAAAAAGGCTAAAAAGGCGTTAAAAGGGGTTAAAAGGGGCTAAAAGGGGCTATATAGGTGCTATAAGGGCGCTAAAAGGCACTAAAAGGGCGCCAAAAGGATGCTAAACTGAGCAAAATGGGGCTAAAAGGGTGCTAAAAGGCGCTATAAAGGATCTAAAAGGGCACTAAAAAGGCTTCAAAGGTGCCAGAGGGGGCTGCTTCTACCTTGTTCTCCTGGGCCTGAGCGCGCACCAGCTCGGGGCGGGACGGCGAGGCGGCCTGCCCCTGCTTCAGGCTCTGCTCCCTGTTGCTCAGCCAGGTCTGCAGCTCCTGGCCGGCCTGCCGGGCCTTCTGCCTCAGCTCCAGGGAGGCCTGCTGCCGGCCCAGGCGCTCCCTCAGCTCCCCGCCGAGCCCGTCGTACCGCGCGTTCACGTCCGACACCGCCAGCTGGAGCTCGGTCAGGTCTGGGGGGGACACACAGAGGCCGTGGTTGGCAGGTGGAGGTTGGTGCTGAGCCGGTGGGATGGATGAGCGCGGCGGGACACATTGGACGGGACAGACGGGAAGTGGAGACACAGAGAGCCCGGCTGTAGAGGGACGAGGAGCTCACCTTTACAGGTGTGAATGCCGTTCACACTGCCGGGACCCCCCGAGCCGTTGATGTGGGGCGCACCTGGGAGAGAGACACACAGCTGACTGAGAGCAGCACACCAAGCAAACGGGGCGATGGGGGGGTGGACAGATGGTGGACAAAAGCCATGGAGACAGACACCACCGAGGAGGACAGAGGGACCTCACATGTGGGGAGACACAGCAGGAACACACGGCTTTGGCTTCGGTCAGGAAGAGACAACCAGGACGCGACTTTACGCAAAGTTGCTCTGATATTTTCTCTCCCCTTTTACCTCCCACAGACCCTTTGAGATGATTTTCAGACATGTTCTAAATCAGGTCGGCTGAATCAGTGAACTCTTCTTAAAACAAATCCCTTCTTAGAACATAATTTTATAGGAGAGCCTTCCCCGATCTTATTTAACTTTATTATATCCCTTTTATTTTATTGTATATTACAAATTTTTTGTTTATCTTAAACCTGTATTTTAATCTTTTCAATGTTTTTCATGCTTTTATCTTGTATTGTTTTTGTATTATTGTCTTTACACTTGTTAAAGCACTTTGTAACTTGTTTTTGAAAAATGCTCTACAAATAAAGATTATTATTATTATTATTCTGTCAATGTTTTATTCATTTTCAAACTTCCCACTTTTTGTTTCTACAGTTCTGAGCAGAGCTGAGTTGGATCTTTCAGATGTTTTCCTTCATTGCTCGCATGCTTGACTGAACCAGAAAGCTTCACCGTGGCAGAGCTAAACCAACAGAATTCACTAACTCTTTCCATCAGTCGTGAACCATTGTTTGGGTCCGTGTGTTCAGATCTCACCAGTTTTGCTCTGAGGAGCGGTGACATCGATGATGAGGGTCTCCAGCTCTGAGCCCGTCCTGTTCAGCTCCTGGACTCTGGAGCCCTGAGACTCCCAGTCACTCAGCAGGTCCTGCAGTCAGAGGTAAAACACGCAGATTTAAAGCAACACGCTGCAGGAATTCCTCCAGCATGACTTCCACATTATGGAGTTTTCTCTGGTGATGATGTTTGGAATTCAAAAGAAATTACAAACTGCATTTAATGATTAGTGTGAGCATGGAATTACTCCTCCAACAAGATGGAGAACTATGTTGCCATGTTAGTTTGTTTTATAGCTGGTTTCAGTCACGTGACTGAAGGAAAAGGCATTGTGAATTAGCTACACAGTCAGACTAGTGCTTTATGTCCCTCTCTGCCATTCTAGTTTTCAAAATGGCGGATCGCTATTGAACCCTCCGTGGACTTACCCATCCTGTGTATGTACAGATAGAAAATACTTCCTTATGAGGAGAAGTCAGATCATTGCAGAGGTCATTTTACACCAAATGAGGACACATTTCGAAATGAAGAGAATGATTTTAGCTAACAAAACACTTCAAATACTACACAATGTCCCTTTAACAGCAGCCGTCTGATCTGCCTTGTTGGTGCGTTTCACAGCCGTTTCCCACCTTTAGCTGCTGGACCCTCCTCTGCAGCCCCTCGGTGTCCAGTCCGGCCTCTTTGCAGGGCAGCTGGTCCTGAGCCGTCTGGAGCCACCGGGCCAGGGAGCCCGACAGGCCGCGGAACTGCAGCAGCTGCTGCTGGCAAGCCTGGACGGCAGCGAACCTGAGCAGAAACAAATTAGAGAATTATTTTAGCTAATAAAATACTTAAAATACTACGCAATGTCCCTTTAAAACAGCGTGACCTTGAACTCTGTCTGCACGGAAATGCGATCTGTGTGCAGCTGTGGATGGAAAAGGGCTGAAAGCCTGTAGACAAAACAGCCCTGAGGAGCCGCCCGGCATCATTACAGTCCGGCTATTTCCCTCCTCTGGGATCAGAGGCTGCCAGTTATCCGAGAGCCCACTTTAAATATACAGCAGAAGCTCTGCCTACGATCGCCTAAACATACGAATCTTCCAACATCCAAAGTGAAATTCGATCAAATATTTGACTCGACACCCAAAATAAATTTCCAACATACGTCCAAGTCATAGAATTTTTTTTTAAATTGAATAAAGATAAATAAGATAAGTTAGTTTAAAGTTCAGGTAGTGAAAGTTAGAGTAAGTTAGGGTCCGTCCTGTATCTCAGTCTTCACCCTTTTTATTGATTATTTCTTTATAATCGGTCCTGGAAGGAGTTAGATTTGTATGTAGAGATTCTACTGTACTTAAATTTGTGTGTGCATGCTTCATGTTCATATGGCTGCATTTTTTCCTTCTAGGACTCATCCCTGGAACCCTAAATCTGCACCAGGTTCTTTCTAATCTCTGCGGTCTGGAGACCTGGAGCTCTCTGGGGGAGTTCTGTCCCCCTCACGGCGCCCCCTTCAGCATCTGCTGCTGAACTGCAGCTGTTACCTCTCGCTGACGTTTTCCTCCAGCCTGGTGAACTCGTCGGTCACGTCTCTCACGCGCTCCAGGACGCTCTGGGTGTGACTGAAGGCTTTCGATTGGCTAAGCTCGGTGCCCAGGCCACAGAAGGATTTCAGCTGGCCCGCCTCCTGCTCCAGCTCGGACCGGACCTCCTGAGGACCCAGAGAGACCCATCAGACTCACAGAGGCCCCATATGCCCCACAGGGACCCCATCACACCCATAGAAACCCCATCAGACCAACAGAGACCCGATCAGATCCACAGACACCCCATCAATCTCCGATCAGACCCCATCAGACCTACAGAGACCCCATCAGACCCCCATCAGACCCACAGAGACCCCATCAGACTCACAGAGACCCCATCACACCCACAGAGACCCCATCAGACCCACAGAGACCACATCAGAAACCCCATCCAAGACCCCATCAGACCCACAGAGACACTATCGGATCCACAGAGGCCCCATCAGACCCACAGAGACCCCATCAGACCCACAGAAACAACATCAGAAACCCCATAAAAGACCCCATCAGACTCAGACCCCCATCAGACCCTGTCAGAGACCCCGTCAGCCCCCACCTGGATGGTCTGCCTGTAGTCGTCCACGCCGCGGTCCGGCTGGCCGGCCGGGCTCAGGGCCTTGAGCCGGCTCTGGGCGAAGCCCTGGAGGTCTGCTCCCAGCCGCTCGTAGCTCTCCAGCTTGGGCAGCAGCGCCTTGAGCTCGGCCTCCTGCTCGGCCTGGCTGGCCTGAGCCGCGGCGTAGCGCTGAGTCAGCTGGTCCAGGCTGCCCTGCAGGCCGGACGCCGTGGAGGCGTCCGAGCTCTGGAGGAGCCTGGAAACCGAATCCCGGGTCGCTTCCATGCTGCCCTGCCTGGACAGCAGCTCCTGCCGGAGTTTCTGCAGGAGAAGAAGAAGAAGATCAGCAAGCTTGAAGGGAGATCCTACTGTTTTCAACTATCAACTATCTTTTTATTGAAATTAAGACAAAATAAGAACGTTTTTACGTATTATGCCACATAGAAATCTGTGAACAAATGTACTATACCGAGTGTTAGTGCTAAAAGAAACTGAAAACTGAAGAGACAGAAGACAAACAGAAACAAATACAGAAGGATCGATGGGGGTCATAAAAATATCTCACAAAGGGACCCCAGACTTTTTAAAAATGGACCTGATCACAGCATGTGATGGACCTCAGAGGAAGCCTCATGGCTTCCTGAGCAAACACCAAACAAGGCAGGGAGGGGGTCAGGTGGGACAGTTACCACAGAGACCTGCCAGATCAGACTTTTAGTTTGGAGAAACTAGTTTCAGGTTAAGATCTAAACTTCTGACAGACTTGCAACTCTCCCCCCTCATTAGTAAACAAGCTTCAACGCAAAGTACTTTAATCTTGGGAGGCATTACTATTTTATATTTTTTTAATGTATTTTTATTATTTTTTATGCATTTATTTTTTATCATTTATCATAATTATTATTTCATTTACTTATATGTATTTTTTAAATTGTTAGGGTTGGATAGGGTTTATAAAAACATAACAATATAAATTGTTTAAACGCTGTGTAATTCTTGTTACATTGTACACTGTCGCCAAAGGAACTGTAACAACTATAAAACATTACAACCTGTATGACATTGCACATCTATTCTAACAACAATAAAAATATGTGGAGATTTTAGAAATTGTATTTAAAACATTTTTTTAAAAAGAGCCGAACCTGGTTCTGGGTCAGTGCCTCTTGGACGGCCTGTGCGGTGGGCTCCACGGGTCCGGGGGCGACGGCCATCGTCTCCAGCCAGCCCAGCAGCCCCCTCAGGCCCTCCTGCACGCTGACCGACTGCGCCACCGCCGTCTGCAGCTGCTCGGCCCGCGCCGACACCGCCGCCGACAGGCTGCCGAACCGCTTCTCCAGGCCGTCTGCAAACACACATTTGAGCCTCGGTGAGTAATAGTTTCATTATTTCAGTCTGGAAAAAAGAAATAATTTGTAAGTTGGGTGCCTTTTTGAAATGGGTCCTCCCATTATATCGATGATGTTATAGTTCTAATGTATATGCGTTACTTTGTTCTGTTATATTTATTGTTTGTGCTCCAAACCATGTATATGGTCATGAGCAATTAAATCAAATAATTGAATTGAGTTGAATGGAAAGGGGGCTGTTCCCGGCCGTTGGAGGAAGCGGCGGTTTGGGCGGAGCCGTACCTGCGGCGCAGAGGATGTCCACGGCCTTCAGGGACGGGGACTCGTCAGCGCTCACCAGCTCCCTCCCAGCTCGCCTAGCCCTCTCCAGCTGCACAGAGCGCTCGGCCAGCTGGTCCTGGAGCAGCTGCCAGAGATCAGGGAGCAGAGATCAGAGATCAGGGAGCAGAAATCAGAGATCAGGGTGCAGAGATCAGGGAGCAGAAATCAGAAATCAGGGAGTGGAAATCAGAGATCAGGGAGCAGAAATAAAGGAGCAAAATCAGACATCAAGGTGCAGAGATCAGGGAGCAGAAATCAGAGATCAAGGTGCAGAGATCAGGGATCAGAAATCAGAGATCAGGGACCGGAGAGAAGGGAGCGGAAATCCGAGATCAGGGAGAAGAAATCAGGGAGCAGAAATCAGACCATTTGCCCTGGCTCTGCGCACAGCCTCACCTGGACTTGTCTCAGGGTGCTCTGGAGGTTCTGGGGGTCGGTGTCTCCGCTGGACCTGGCTACGCTCTGGTTCTGCTCCTGAGCGCTGAGCCAGGAGTGGAGGGACACCACCTCATCCTGGTACTGCTGGTACCGCTCCAGCAGGCCGGACAGTCGGCCCCCCAGCTCTGTGGACTGCACACAGCCGCTCTCAGAGACACAACTCCAACACTCAACGCACTTTAGCCATTCCTTTTGTTTCACTGAAGAAACCATTTTGTTCTGCTGACTCATGGAGCTACCATGTTACCTCAGTTTTTTAAATGTTTTCAGTCTTTGAATTCTACAGGCCTGCTGTGAGGCTCTCAGTGTCACCTTTTCCTTTCTAAATTCTCTGTAAACCGTTATTCAAGAAGGAAATATCAAATGTATGCAGCTTCTCTCTTTGATTTCAAATGTGAACATTTTATTGAGGCGTGACCTGAAATTAAACTGACAAAAAATATTTGGCCTCATTAAGAGGAGTGAGTTTAGGAGGCCCCGCTCACCTTGGTGTGTAAGGCGGTGTATCTGTGGTTGGCGTCCTGCAGCTTGTCGGCCACCAGCTGTTTGGTGCCCTCCAGAGCCGGGTCCGATCCCCCGGCCTGCTCCAGGGCCCCCTGGACCGAGTCCAGGACCTTTTGCCCCGAGATGGAGACGAAGCGCAGGTCCGCTTTGTGGCAGATGACGTCCTCGGCCAGCTGGGAAGACACAAACGTTCGGGTTTCAGGATGGTGTGGGAGAGAAAAGCCCACAGCTCTGTGGTGGAGTTTGTCACAGAGATGAACAAGAGCTGGAAAATGTCAGCTCCATGGATGATTAAAGAGGGGCTGGGGGGGGGGGGCAAAATGACTGTTTAGATGAAGGGGATTGTGTATTTGTGAGCCTTCAAAGCAGTTAAAACCACATCAAAGTGTCTTTCGTGGCTCCTTTGAAGAAGGCTGTAATGTTTTTGGGGGGCTGATCTGCAGCTTTGGGGTACTCAAAGCAGTTGTGACCCCTCCTGCTTTCAGCGGTCGTCTGCATGGGGGGGTGAGTGTGCGTCTGCTGCACCTTTCTGTGCTCCTCCAGCCTGTCCTTCAGCCCCTGGGCGTCGGTCTCTCCTTCCCCCAAGGAGCGCAGCTCCTGCTCGCTCTGCTCCAGCCAGCCGCCCAGGCCGCCGTGCTCCTGGAGGAACTTGGCCAGCTCGTCCTTCAGCGCCTCCGACTTCCTGAGCCGGTCCTGAAACCAGGAAGCAAAGGCTCTTTCTGTCTGTCTCCGTCCAGCCTCATCTGGGACTACAGGTCCAGACTCCTCTTGGCCTGCACACCCAGACCCAGACTCCTCTGGGGCTGCAGACCCAGACTCCTCTGGTGCTTTAGACCCAGATTCCTCTAGGGCTACAGACCCAGACTCCTCTGGGGGCTGCTGTACCTGGCAGCTCTGCAGCCGGTCCTGGTGCTGGGCCTGCAGCTGGTCCAGGGCGGCCCGCAGCCGCCGCTTCTCCTCGGGGGGCACCGAGGAGTCGGGCTGCTCCAAAAGGGAGCGCGTCGATTGGCTGATTTGCAGCAGCTGCGCCTGCTGAGCCTGGAGCTGCTGGAGCTCCTCCTGAGGGGAAATCAGAGACCAGAGATCAGGGAGGGGCAGAGCTGCAGGATGCTTCACGGGACGCCTCAGAGCGGCGTTTTACCTGCAGCATTTCTGTGTGGGACGTCACAGCGCCCTCTGGCTGTGAGAAGGGAGAATCGGTGACGCTCAGAACCGCTCCAGAACCAGCGGCTCGGGTGCCCGGTTGGTTCAGGGAGGACAGCTCCTTCAGGAGGGAGCCTATCTGGCTCTGGGTCTCCTGGAGATCCTCCTCTGCTTTCGCCTGAGGATAGAAAAGAAGTCACCCACAGCTGTGTTTATCTCAGACACTAAAGGGAAAACGGCATATCTGAACTGGTAAAAGAGTGGGGGGGTCTTCCAGGCTGTTTCCAGAAAATGGCCACCATCTTTAAAGCCGCCATATTGGATCAAAGGCACAGTTTATGCAGCAGATCGAAGGCGGTCAGAGATGCCTCAGGATTTCCCTTTAGGCTGTAAGGCCAAACTGCATCCTGAGACTTTTGGGGACAGTGCTCACAGAGGGAGCAGCTGTGGGGGGGGGTTCTGGTGGAGGCCTCTCACCCTCTGGGAGTTCTGCTGCTCCGTGGTGCTGATGGCCGCCTCCACCTGGGACAGCGATGCGTTGGCCCCCTCCGTCAGGGCGCCGTACTGCGCCCTCAGCCTGGCCAGCGCCCCCTGGAGCTCCTCCCTCTCCCCCGGGCTCAGACCCTCCGCCCGCTCCAGCAGCTCCTCCACCGACCGGATGGCCTCCGCTATGCCCTCGCCTTTCGTCTGGACGTCTTTCTGCACGTCCTGGGATTAAAAAAACAACACAGAAATAAGAGCTTCGTCTCCCTGAAACGGAGCGGCCGACTCCCACCGCTGTGCTTTCACACCTTCAGTTTTTTCTGCTTCTCTCGCAGGACGCTCACGTCGTCCGACTCGGTTCCGGCCCTCTGATTGGCCAGCGAACTGGCTGCTCCGGCCAACCACAGGTTGAGGCCTTCCAGCTTCTGAGCGCATTCGGCTTTCTGCTGCTGGACCGCCTGCGGGGGGCAGAGGGAGCGTGAGGAGCTCGGGCGGGAACGGGGAGCACATCCTGACCGCCAGCGTTCTGCACGGTTCTCGTCTTTTAGCACCTCAGTTTGCAAAGCTTTGAGCAGGTTGTGTCCAGAACTCACTCTCACTCACAAACCTCCACACATCCACAAAGTTGCCCAAGCAAACCGACACACACAGAACAAAGAGAAACAACACAGGCGTCTGTTTTATTTGGCGTTTTTCCTCCTCGGGAGGAAAATAATATATTAAGCGTTGCAGCCCTGTTTTCCTTCAGGGGCCATCTGGAACAGCAAGGCAGACAGGTTAATAAAACACGGGTTATGGGACAAGCGGAGGAGCACACACACACAAGAGAAAGGCTCTGTGGAGGGACTGGACCGGGCCGCGGTGGCGGTTAGATGGCGAGCGGCTGGGCGGCTCCAGCCGAACGCCGTTACGCAGAAGCAGGCGCTGGTCTCTCCAAACCTCTCTGTCCCTCGCCATCTTCCTCTCTCTGCCCGCCTCCTGGTCCCTGGCCCTCTGGGCGGCCAGGGCGTCGGCCCAGGCCTGAGCCCGGCCCCCGGCCCTGTGGAAGGCCCCCTGCAGCTGCTGCAGCTGCCCCAGCAGCTGCCTGCTCTGCGGCGGCCGCAGGTCCTGCGCCCGCTCCGACAGGAACTCCTGCAGGCCCAACGCCACGGCCTCCACCTCGCCGGAGCGAGCCGCCAGCGCCGCCTGGAGCTCCTGAGAGGAAGCAAAAGGAGGAGCCAGGAGGGAAAACATCACAGAGGGGATTCAACAAGCGTCCGGCGTCCAGAAATGGAGGATTTTAGCCTTTTTTTTAGCACCTAACAAACTAAACATGACTCATTTTCCACACCGTTCTTGTATTTTTCATGTTGTGTCTTATTCTAATAGATAAAAAAGGGGGCAAAGGGTCCAAAAAACTGACATAATTTTGACTAATATTTCAAAACTTGAATTCATTTGTAGAGTTTCCTGTTCTGTAAGCAGCAAAATCGCCTTTTTTAGAAATGTTCAGACTCCTCAACACAGCAATCGGGAGCTAATTTACAAGTGAGTTGTTTTTGGTTGTATCTTATACATTATATCTTTTTTAATAGATAAAAAATTACATAAAGACTATAGAAAAATAACATTACTAACTAATATTCCAAAATCTGAAGTAATCCAGTCTTAAAACCCAAAGGTAATCCTATTTTTCCAGAATTTTAGCCCTAAACATGGGAAAATGAATCTAAAACAGGCCTCAGACGGGCCGCCAATGACAGCCAGGCTGAAAACATCCCAGAACCAGATAGATTTGACAGGAAAATGAGGAAAAAACGCTCACTTTGCAGATATTCAGCTCCTGTGCGAGCCGGTCCTGAGTCTCTTCTGCCTCCGTCTTCTCCCCTCTGTCCATCTGGGCCTCGGCCTCCTTCAACCAGGCCAGCAGCCCGTCCGCCTGCCGGCTCAGAGCCTGCTGCTCGGCCGCCACTGCGTCCTGCAGGAAAGTGGCAGCGGTCAGCAAAGGGGCCCCAGAGTGCCGGTGGGTTGGTGTGTGGGGTGAGAGGCCTCCGGTCACCTGGAGCGAGTCCCTGTGGCCCCGCAGAGCCCCCAGGACGTCCTCACAGAGGGCTCTGGCCACCTCGTAGCCCCGGGCCAGGCTCCGCCCGTCCTTCTCCAGAGCCAATAGCAGCTGGGGGGGGACGTCCGCGGGCCGGGGCGTCAGCAGGCGCTCGCCAGCTTCCACTTCCTGCTTGATTTGGGGCTCCAGGTCGAGCAGCTCCTGTTCCAGAGTCTGTTGGGCAGATCGGGACAAAGAGGGACCGGCCGATCCTCAGATTACTGCTGTTGGTTAGCCCCCCTCAGCCCACCGTCTCCCCCCCCTTTTAAGCTAAAGCGCCTCAGACTGAATTATATCACCGTTTCAGGATCCAATCAGAGCTGCAGACTCGATAAACTCTGATGTCGAAGCAGAAAATGACAGAGAACAGATTCACCTCCAGCTAAAATGCTGCTGTGTTTTAGTTTATGTTTAGTTTAGTTATGTTTAAAGGCTCCAGTTAGTGTAACTCAACAAAAACAACCCCAGAGATCTGATAGAAAGACGATCAGACGGCCTCAGCTCGTCCACAACCAGCTGCCTAAAACGGCAAACGACTCATTTTTTTGGAAGTTAATCGTTAAGATTAGTCGTTAGTGGCAGCTCTAGATTTCTGTGTCTTTCCCACCTTTCTTTCCCCCGCGGGGGGGTGAAACGCTCACCTGGGCTTGGCGGATGACGTCGTCCAGCGCCAGCAGGCCGCGTCCGGCCGCCTGCTGCTGCTGCTGCTGCTTCAGCCGGACCTGGATGTGGCGCACCGTGGACAGCAGGGCCACGGCCCGCTGGTCCCGCTCCAGGCACTCCTGCCGCGTCAGGGACGGCTGGGGGGGAGAAAACGGGGCTTCGTCAGACCTTCGGCTGGACCTGTGGGCTTCCAGCTGTGAGTGAGACCTGAGCCTACCTTCTGGGCCTTCGCCTCCTCCTTGTCCGACACACTCCTGGCGCTCTCTCCTTCTTCTTCTGGACCAGATTCTGCAGTTCTGGGGGATTCCGACTCCCCTGAATGATCCTCTGAGGGGGGCGCAGCTGGTCCTGAAGACTCCAGATGCTGCTGCTGCTTCCTCACAGACTCGGAGGCGTCTTTGGTAACGGACTCGGCTTCTTTGGTACCGGACTCGGCTTCTTGGCGCCTCTTCTTCTTCTTCTTCCTCTTTGTGGCTGCCTGGTCTGTGGGGGCTTCAGACTGGCCGGCAGCTCCAGGTTCTGGGTCGGCTTTAGGGTCCTCTGCCCTTTGAGCCCTCGACTTGCTCCTTCCATCCGGCTGGGCCTCTGAAGCCGTCTTTCCCACATCGTCTCTTCCCGTTTCTTCCCCCCCCGGAGTGGCCTGGACAGGCTTTTCCTCTCTGGGTGCCTCGTCCAGCCTCCTGTCGCCCTCCCTGGCAGCCGTTTGCTCCCCGCTGGGTCTGGAGGCAGCATCGGCCCCCCCCGGTCCCCAAACTTCCCGGTCACTTTGCTCCTGTCCTTCCCTTTCGGCGGGGCCTCGGCCCCCCTCCTTCCTCCCCGCCTCTCTGCGCAGAGCCTCCAGCTCCTCGCCGGCCTGTCTCCCACTCACTCCTTTCCCAAACACCTTCTTAAGGATGCCCTCTTTTGCTTTCAGAACCAGGGCTGCTTTCTCCTCATCCGGAAGGGTGGACTTCTGAGGCCCCGCCCTTTCCTTCACATCCTCCTTCCTCTCTGCTTCTTCACACTCTTCTCCTCTCTTTGCTTCATCTTTTCTCATCTCCTTCTCTGGCTGATGAGCAGAAACCTCCTCCATTTTCCCTATGACTTCATCACTTTCTCTCTCTAAGCTCCCGTCAGTACCTGGTTCCCTCTCTTCAGGGGGGGCAGCCTTCTTCAAAAAGTCCTGTGCTGCCAGCTCATCTGGATGTTTGCTCTCCGTTTCTGATTCTTTAACTTTAGCTCTCTTCTTATTCCTCTTCTTCTTTTTGCCTTTGGCCTCCGGCTCCACGTGGAGCTCCACCTGGATGCCGGTGTTGACCTCCACACTTTCCTCTGCCTCTTCGCCTCTCTCCTCCACGTCATCTATTTGTGCTGCTAAAGCATCTCCGCTCACATCTGGACCTCCAGCTGTCCGGTTTTCCTCCTCAGAAACCTGGTTGCTGTTTTCCGTTTCTGGTCCTCCAGCCTCAGCTCTCCTCTCACCTCCCTGTGGCCCCTCGTCTCCCCTCTCTGAGTCCTTCTGGGAGATCTCCTCTATAGCCTGCTGGACTCTCTTCTCCACATTAGCTGCAAACTCGGATAAGACGTCCATGGTGTCCAGGGTCGGTTCTGGTTCTGGTTCTGCTCCCGGTGTGGCTGAATCCTGTAGCAGTGAAGCGTCGCCATCTGACCGGCTTTCCGAGCTCCTCCCCGACACCGCCCCGTCCCTCTGGATCTCCAGAGCCGTGTCTTCAGAGAGCAGTCCCAGCCGGACGGCGTCGCTGAGGCTGGGGACTCTCTGTCCGGTGGCCGGATCCACCAGGCCGCCTCTCAGAAGCTGCTCCGTGGCGATCTCTCTGAGAATGTCCGCCCCCACCAGCCCCCTCCGGGAGGCCTCGGGCAGCGGGAGCCGCTCCCCGGAGGCGATGTCCACGATGCCGCCGCTGTCGGCCTGGCTCTGGAGCAGCCTGAGCGCCGGGCCGGGGTCCACCCGCCCGGACGCCACGGCCTGGGGCAGCGTCAGCCGTTCGGCCGCCGCCCCCAGCACGCCGCTGAACGGCCCCACCTCCAGGAAGCGCCTCCCGGTCTCCACGTCGATCCGGCCCTGGCTGACCAGCTGCGCGTAAGGCACGATAAGGGCCGTCTGCGGGTCCACGGCGCCCCTCCTCGCCGCCGGCGACGCCATGATGTCTTTGGCGGCGGCGGCGTCCAGCAGCCCCTTGGCAACGGCCTCGGTCAGCGTCAGCCGGTGCCCGGAGTCGGGGTCGGACACGGCGCCGCCCTGGGCCTGGAACAGGACGGCCTCCGGGCGGCCGGTGGCGCCCGCCCCCCCCCGGTAGGCCTGCTCCAGCTCCTGGAGGCCGGGGGCGACGGCCCGGTCCACCAGGCCTCGGTCCACCGCCTCGCCCACCGGCAGCCGCACCCCCGAGGCGTGGTGGAGCACCCCGCCGTCGGCCACCTGCCGGGCCAGCGCCGCGTAGGCCTCCTCCGGCGTGAGCAGGCGCCTCTGGACCGCCTGCTCCAGGGGGAGCGGCCGCCCGGTCTCTGGGTCCAGCAGCCCCCCCGTCTGCAGCTGCAGGCTGGCCCTCTTCAGGGCGGCTGCGGGGTCGGAGCCCCTCCCCTTGCAGGCCTTTTCCAGAGCCACCAGCTCCTCTGTCTGGTCGGGTCCGATCAGCCCCAGGTTGGACGCCAGGGTCACAGAGACCCTCTTGTCCCTGCGCAGGTCCACGACCCCCCCGGACGCCACCTGGGCCTCCAGCAGGCGCTCGGCCGTGCCGGCGTCGATCAGCCCGGCGCAGGCCGCGTCCCTCACCCCGCGGATCTGCCTCTTCTCCGCGTCCACCACGCCCGCCAGCGTCTTCTCCGACTTCAGGACGCTCCACATCAGGTCCTCGTCCAGCAGCCCCTCCTCCAGGACCTCCTCCAGGCTCAGCGCCTGCCCGCTGCCCGCGTCCAGGAAGCCCCCGAACAGGCCGGCCTGGGCCATCAGTCTGACCGCCGTGTGGCCCGGCAGGAGGCCCTGGGCCACCGCCTCGTCCGGCAGCAGCCGGCCCCCGTCCTCCGTCAGCAGGCCGCCCTGCCGGAGCTCCAGGACCAGCCTCTGCAGCTCCGCCTCCTCCCCCGGCCGCCCCACGCCTGGGTCAGCCCCCAGGGACGCATCCACATCTGGTTCAGCAGTCTCTGAGACGGCCACATCTGGTTCTTCAGTCACATGTGGTTTGACAACCTGAGACTGGGCCACATCTGGTTTACAAGTCTCTGAGATGACCACATCTGGTTTTTCAGTCTCTGAGATGGCCACATCTGGTTCTTCAGCCTCTGAGACGGCCACCTCTGGTTTAACGACCC